CAGAGCCAGCACCTTACTCCTGCACATGGTGGGTGGATGGGGAATCTGGCTATGCAGCCCAGTGGGCTCTTGCAGCCATCCTCCTGTCTTGCGCTTCTTTGCTTTTGAATCATGAATTAAACAAATTTCTATTCCTTTTTTCCCTCCCCAGTACTGGAGATTCAACTTGCAGACCCTTTTATATATTTTTTTTTTTGACCCCTTTATATTGAGACAGGGTCTCATTATGTTGCCCGGTTTGGCCTCAAATATGTCTGTGTCCAAAGGAGATGGGATTAGATGCATGTACCAAAATGCCCAGCTAATTCTATTCTTTATAGACTTTTTAAAAAAACTTAGAAAAACATAAAAAGTAAACCTTTCTGCATGTCTTCTTAATTATGTTTTCTTCTTTAGTCCTCAGAACATTTTAGAGTCCGGTCAGCACAAGGCGTACTTTTGCACTGCATTCTACTGGAGGGCTAAACAATGTGTGACTCCTGAGGCTTCACAGTTTGCGAAGCAAGAGAAAAAGCACAAATAACAGTAGTAATGCAGCACAATTCAAAGTAAAGCACTTGCTAACTATTATCACAAGCAGTGCAACAATCCCAGGGGCCTTCAGAGAGAAAGAACAGCTCTCCAATGCAACGGTCAACACTCGTGGTTTCTGCTCGCTCTAGCACGCCCACTGGCAGCCTGGCCCTTGTTCCTGTACAACTTGTGAGTGGAGCTGGGTGCTGTGGGGCACACTTGCTCTGCAGGCACTCAGGGAGGCTGAGGCAGGACTGTAAGTTCAAGGTGACTCAGTGACTTACCAAGAGAGACTGTCTCAAAAACATTTTGTAAAGGAGGTGCTGAGCATAAAGATCAGTACAAAGGTCTAGTCTCCAGTAACACACACACACACACACACACACACACACACACACACACACACTTTTGACATTGTAAAACGATTGAAAGGCTTCAAAGACTATTTCATGACACATAAAAGGTGTATGAACTCCAACTTCAAAATAAAGTTTTATTGGATCACACCAATGCTTCCTAGGAAAAAAAAGGGAGCTACACTGAACAAAAATTGTATCATCCAAACAGAGCTGGAAAAAAAAAACATTTACTGTTGTCCTTCACAAAAAGGCCAGTGCCTTTACTGGCGAGGTGGCGCATGCCTGTAATCCCAGTACTTGGGAGGCTGAGGCAGGCGGATTACTGTGAGTTCAGGTCCAGCCTGGGCTACAAAGTGTGTTCAAGGCCAGCCTGAACTATGTAATGAGATCCTGTCTCAAAAAAAAAAAAAAAAAAAAAGAGAGAAGAAGAAAAGAAAAGAAACATTTCCTAAACCTGTGAAAAATGAGAAATTCTAAAAACCAATGGGAACCTGAGAAACAGCTAAGTGCTAAGAGCACATGCTTAGCATTCTCCAGAGCCTGGGTACGATCCACAGGGGGGCAAAGATAATCAGTGAACATAAATACTGCAGTTTCTCTGGTGCAAGAAACTGAAAGTGTAAATAAGGACAGAAGTGGGTAACAGACATTATAAAATAGGAGGAAAATGTTCAAATGGAAAGGGGAACTAGGGAGAAAGGAGGGGGAAAGGAAGAAAGGGAAAAGAAAAAAATGAGAAAAGAACAAATGAAACAAACCTTTGGAAATGAGGGAAAAATGGGTTGAAGAGCAGGCAGAGAAATGGGAGAAAAAAAAGAATCAAGTTATATCATGTACAGGTACAAATTCCCTATGATGTACACCTAAAATGTACCGATAAACTTAACTAATAAAAGAAAGTCAGTGACTATCTTTTTGAAAATTCAGCTCATCAGGCCTAGCTCAACTTTTTTTCTGATAGATGATGTGCTCACAGATGTCATTTTAAATCAAATGATTAGTTAATATCTTAATCTAGTCAGGTATGTGGCAGGGGTTTTAAGATTGCTTTAGGAGTATGTGGGAGCTATCATAAGCACCAGACCAATCAGATGTGGCTGTATATTACCAGAATCTATTAAAGGAAACTACAGAAACCAAGAGAGTAAATACGCTGTGTCTGCTACCTGGCATACCCTGCTTGTATCAGACCAAACTGAGCTGTCCAACAGCAATATGAAAGCCGCGTAATTTTAAATGTTCTAGTAACCATGTCATAAAAAATTAGGAACATCTGAAATCTCAGTACTTTATTTAACCCAGTCTACTTCACATATTATTTCAGCAGGTATTCAGTATTTAGGAATCGAGATATGCTAATTTTTTCATATAAAATCTCAAAATCTGATCCATCAATGTAACATTACACAGCACTGGCACATTTCAGGTGTCACCGCCAGTACACCTCAGAGAGGGTGCCGCAGGTTTCAGCAGGACAGACAGGTCGGGAAGATGAAGGACACAGGTTAGAAAAGGAACTTACTTAGCTCCTGAATTCTAACATTTAAAATACTAAAAGTGAAAAATAAGAATCTAATCTGGCATGAGTTTTTACCTGGGTTATACTTGGGGTTCTTTTCCTAGAGGACAGGAAAGTGAGACAGGGTCTTGCTATGCAGTCTGCGCTGGCCTCTAACTTGTAGTCCTCCTGCCTCAGCCTGTTCAGTGCTGGGATTGTAAGTACGTACCATCCACACCTGGTTTTGGGTTTTTTGGTTTGTTTTTTGTTTTATTTTGTTCTGTTTGTCTCTTTGAGACACGGTTTTGCTATGACTGGCCTTGAACTTACTTTGCTAGTCCAGGGTGCCCTTGAACTCACAGCAATCCTCCTGCCTCAGCCTTCCAAGTGCTGGAATTACAGGTGTGCACTACCGTGCCCGGTGTTGAGGTTTTTAAAGTACCGTGCAGTAATGTGCATTTTTACTAATCTTGCTGTAACTGTCATGTGGGATTATCCACATCCTCCCTTTTCACTCTCCACGCATTTATACATTTCCTCACAAACCTCCATTTCCTAAACTATTTCAAAATTATGCCAAGTACTCTCTACAAACTGAACAAACTTAGAAATCTATACATGCCTAAAAAATGGGAAGATACTTAGAGATTTTGAAAGTGGACTGAGGGGCTGGGGATTTAGCTCAGTGGCATAAGCGCCTGCCTTGCAAGCAGGCAGTCGTGAGTTCAATCTCTGGTACCAATAAAAAGGAAAAAGACAAAAAAAAAAAAAAAAAAAAAAAAGAAAGTGCACTGTAAATGTACAGTGAGGTGACCATGTCACAGGATGTGTGGGAAGTGCCCTGGAGACAAGCCAGTCCAGAATGATCCCCGAGAGGTGAGAATCCTGAAACACAGCGACCAGATCCCCTTCAGTCACTTAACTAGTGAGTCAACCAAACCATGTCACTAGTTTAACACCAGAATGTGGGAAAATGTGTCTTTCTTGTGGAACAAAACAATGAAAAGCCCCCATGAACCCTCCCACCCCTGCCTGGTGAGCCAGAGAAGATACCCATAGGAGGACCAATTTGCAAGGTTTGGTAGCTACAAATTTTTTTTTCCTTTTTTTTTTTTTTCTTGACTCAGGATTGGGGCATACACTAAGCAAGTGCTCCCCACTGAGCTACACGCCAGCCCCAAAATTCCCTTTCACTGACTGCAATAACCAAATTCTCTTTGCTAATCTGTTTAAGCACCTACCAAAATATCTGGGATTTGGCTCAAGTTTTTGTTTTGCTTGTGAGATGGGAGCTTCACTATGATGCCCCATGCAGTCTTGGACTGAAGGGCTCAAGTGATCCTCCCGCTTCAGCTTCCTGAGTAGCTGAGGCCACACCTGGCTCAGTACCTGTGATAAATCTAAAAACTAAACTGTGTAAACGGCTGGACTGAGTGTCTGTGTACTTCAGGGTGGAGTTGGAAGACTATTTTAGTGCAATAGGTCAAAGTACATCAGTTTAAAAACAAACTCTAGCTAAACAAACTCTGTAAGGACAGAAATTTTTTCCAAATCATTTTTACCAGATGCAATCATGCAGTTACATTTACCAGTGCTCAAAATACAAACTTGAGAAAACCAAACTACAGCTCCGTTTTGTTTTGTTTTTTTCTGAAACAGGATCTCACTATGTAGTCCACGCTGTCCCCAAACTCCACACTATAGTATTGCCTCAGCCTCCTAACTGCTGGGATCACTGGTAGGCACCACCACACCTAGGTCAGCCCAGTAATTCTTAGCCCTTTGATCAATTCTGCTTGTTATTCAGAAACCCATCCTTCTCGATTAGGGTGCTTTCAAGAAAAATGAATCAAAATATTACACTTTAGTTCAAGGGATTTCATGATGCACCCTTTAAATTAAGGGAAGAAACTATTTAAAAAAAAAAAAACAGCAAATCATCAGCCAGGTCTTTACACAGCTTTCCACATCAAAGTAAAACACACTAAACTGCACGATGCTAATTGCATACAAACATTTTACCTGCTCACACAAATATCTGAAACACCAAAATATCAGCAAGGATTGTTTCTGGTAAATTACACGTTCAGGCTTTGTACTTTTCACACTGCCTACATTTTCCACACAAACCACAAATTATCGTTAATTAGGAGAAGAAAATCTCAGGCAAGTGGAAATTGAGGCAGTGCCAAGTTGGGGATTATATTGGATTAACATTCCATAATCCTTAAGTAAAAACCTTTCAAGGCCCTTGAAGAGGCCTGATTATCACACGCTCACCCACTCTTCAGATGTCTGATATGCAATACTCAGTGCGATAGGGGGAAGAACACTATAAAACATTTTTTTAAAAAAGCAAACTTCTCTGGCAAAACAGCAATGTAGTGCCCCTGAAAAGTAACATACCAAAGTGAGTTCTCACGGAATAAGAGGAATCACGAAGTGAAAAAAACAAGACCCAAAATACAAAATGTAAACCCATTAAATGCCGCTGAGTTATTCACATTAAAATGGTCATAAGGGACGTGGCTCAGCGTCAGATCCCCTGCCTAGCATGGTCAGCTCACCCCAGTTCCGGCGAGAGAAAGACACACAAAATGGTCCCAAAGTCAGTGGCACCTCGATTTATTTGTAAAACCTAGCAAAGTCATCTTCGAAATCATTAGACTGAATTAAAAGTTCACATATAGCTTGGTCCCTACACAATTCTGGTTTCTTTCAGCTCTTTTGCCATCCAGAACAAATCAGTCCCCAGTGCAGGAGCCCTAGAGGCGCTGGCGGCAGAGCCTGCTTGCCTTCAGGGCGCTTACCACACCTCTAAAGGGGCCAGAGCAGGCAAAGAGGCCACCGGCCGCAGGACTGCTTTCGACCCCCGAGTTGATGGAGTGGGCACGACTTCAGCAGGGGAGAACAGGGCACAGGACTCGGCGGGCTCTCACTGCCCCTTTATCTTCAAGACTGCACGTACCCTCTCCCTTCCTAAGTGCACACAAATAGTGACTGAAAATGGATCGAAAGCCAATAATCGACATAGCAAGGCTACAGGGACAGACACGCAAGAATCCACAGCTTTGCGTGCGTGCGCCCGCAGGACAGGAGGTAACTGCTCCACTTGACTTTACAGCACCCAGCACCTGGGTACTGACTTTTAAAATGATCAATAAAAGCGGCCCGCCGGCGGGAGCACTGTGAGTACCCACCAACCTCCCCCCAGCCGGCCTCCGGCCTCAGGCCTCCGCTCTGCACGAGGCCCGGAGGACTGGAGCCCAAGTCCGGTCTGCGCCCTACGCCCCACGCCCCGAGCCCCCGGCCGAAGCGGGGCGCTCCGGACAGACCCGCGCGGGCCTCCCGGACCCCGTGCCACAGGCGTGCACAGAAAGGCCAGGGCCCGGCGGGAGGCACGGGTGGGCGGCGCGGCCTCGCCAGACAAAGCTGCGTGCCCCACGCGAGAGCCTCGCGCGCCGGCCGCCCGGCGCGAGAACCGGCCTGCGGATCCGGGGCGCCGCCGCCGCCGCCAACCGCCGTCCCGGCCCAACCAACGCGGGCAGGGGAGGAGAGGTGCGCGCGGTCGGCGCGGCGGGCGAGCCGCTCGGGGGTCGCGGGGAGGCGCGCGCCGAGAGCGCAGGGGCGAGGAGGCGCCGGCGCCGCCGCGGAGCTGCGCCCGCAGGGCCGCCCGGAGGGGCTCGTTCCCCTTTCCCCTAGGACGGTGCAGATGGTTTGACCCCCCACCCGAGGAAGGTGCCTTGTCCCAGCCCCGGCTGGACTGTACCATCGGGCGGTGCCGCCGGGATTTCTCCCCCCCCACCACCACCATCATCAATTCCACCCCCCCAGCCGGGTCCGCGGTCGTTTGGCCCCGGCCAGGCTCTGAGACGCGGAAAGAGCTGGGCGCCATTTTGGGTGGGACTAAGCAAAGACGAAACACCCTCCCAGTCGATGGGGTACTCCGGACCCTGGTTTATCCGGTTCCCTTAATCCTTTAGGTACTTACACGACGTTAGGTGAGGGGAGCTAGAAGATCAGCGGGTCCCCGATCCTCTCTCCCTAGGGGTGATGGAAATCAAACCCCCCCGCCACCTCCAGGTGGTTCTTCCCGCCGCAGAGTGGGAGCAGTATAAAAGGCGGGGCCTTATTAGCATAACCTGCCTGGCAACCTGAGCTCGACGTTTTATGATTGGTTAAACTCTGTAAATCCCATGCCGCGCCTAGAGACAAGGAACGCTGGGCCGAACTGACAGGCCCAGATTTAAGAGTCATGACGAAGATCCTGAGACGCTAATTCAGTCGGCCGCGAAGCCAAAAGGAGATTCGCACAATGGCCCAATGACTGAAGGCCTCTTTATTTCGTGCTCTGCTGTTCATGTAAAATCCAATCGAAGAGCGGGTCTCTGGCTGCGCTCGCCTGCGTCTGTACTCTGAGCCAATCAGAAGGCCCGACTCATCGCATTCAGGGTCGGGTCCCGCGGAGACCCGGCGCGGCCGCGGGCCAAGTTCTCCGCTGTCCGGGTATCGCGGGAGCCCGGCCTCCTCCTCGTGCCGCGGACCAGGGGTCTGCTGGCCGCTCCGGCTCCCCCAGCAAGGGTTCGCGTCCGTAGCAGCCTGCTCGCGGGGGGCACGAGAAAACCCAACACTGGCGCTCGGGCCTTGGTCTCCTGTCGCCCTGGGTGCAGTGCCATGCACCCCGCTGACCCTTGGACCGTGTGTTGGTCCCTGCCAACCGCGGAGCTCCTTTACTGACCTTCCCCTTCGCCAATCTGGAAGTGATTTTCCAGAAACATTAAAAAGTATTATAGTCAAATGATTTAATTCATTTCTTAACCCCAGACTTCTCAGGGCCACGCAGCCTTAACATTGCAAAAAGGCCAGCCGTGCACAGGGCCATCTCAGGCTTTGTAATGCGACGCCTAAATCTAGCTACCCAGTGTCAGTACCTTTGTACCGCCAGAGAACAGCTTTCCCATGTATGGCATCTGCCTTACTATGTGTTTTAAAGATTTAATAAGATCTTAAAAATAATGAAGTGCTTCTCTTAGAGCTTAAACGGAAAATGTTAATGATAAACACCTACAAGATGGCTAACAAAACAGAAGGGAGAAAGGACTATCAAGCAAAAGACCTGAGAATAGAAAGCTCCTGGAAGGGGCTGCAAAATCCATTTTACAGTGTAGAAGATAGCGTTCTGTTTTAAAAAAAAAAAAAAAGATGAGTACCTCAGCAACGTGAAGAATAGCACATGTCTTGTTCTTCCACAATGTCCTATGCAGGCCACGCTGGATTTAAAAGTAAACCCTCTGAGTAATAAGTCTTGCTGCATAAAGCAGATGCAAAGGGTACCTAGTGAGGCAGACCTTGACATTTATATTGCAGCGCTCTTTGCTTGTCTTTCTTTGTGCAGGAAAGATTATATCGGTTTAGAGAGTTGCTGGAATGGTCACCCTTTCAGGGCTTTGGAAGAGCTGCCATCCCTTGTATCCCCGGGCATCTATCTAGGATGCCTCCTTTGGTGATTTAACCTTATTACATCCTCTCTGATGGATTGGGAGTCTCTCAGGCTGTCTGACCAGAAAAGACACAGGAAACTAAAGGGAGTCTTGCTGTGGGATATGGACTGAGTGGGAAAGAGAGAAGCGGACTCAACAGTCCATGCTGGTTTGTCGCTAAACCTGGGAGGAACCTCTGTATGGAGTAGAACAGAGAAGATGTCTCTTCCAGGAGAAGAGGCCCTTTTGATAGCATTGTGGGGCAGGCTTTTAAAGGGGTGGGCCAGAGAAATGACAGGCTTGTCATTGGCTGTGACTGGGTGATATGTCCTCTGTAATCTCCTGAAGTGTCCTTTGTGACCTATGTCCCTGGGATCTGCTGGCGGCCTGCTGACAGGTCTTTTGTGACTTAAAGAAAATGAAACCTACGTTTGTCTAAGATGGGGGTGGGCTCAATTCAAACCCTGTGATGGCCCTGCCCAAGCTCTGTTTTTCTTTTCTTTTTTTTTTTTTTTAAGTCGGTACCAGGGCTCGAACTCGCTCTTGCAAGGCAGGTGCTATGCCACTGAGCTAAATATCGCGCCCACCCCCACCCCCGTCCAAGCTCTGTGGTGGACTGTCGGGCCTGGAGAGTCCAATACCCTTCTGGACTTAGAGAAATGTTCTAAAACTTGCGGTACTCAAATGCTACAAGAAGACATCATTCCACACAGTTATTTTATTCAGGTGATCTGGAGTGATTCTCAGGAATCTACTTTTTGTGTGGCTTAAATAATTTTGAATTTACATACAGTAAAAAGCATTTGTTGTGGTTAGGAAATATCCTTTAAGTGATGGATGCGTACCGATTACAAGTTGCTGTTCCAAACAATAAGTTCCTCCTGTCATGGAGCTGACATTCCAGGGAGGCCACAAAAGAAAATTCATAAATAATTCCAGGTGCTGATGAGTTCTGTGATGAAAGCAAAGTGGAAATGTTGACGGTGCAGACAGGGTGTCAGCAAAGTCCTCTGTAAGGTTACTAAGATTTGGGGACCACAAATTATAAAGGTAGAATCTGTCCACGACCCAAGCTTGCCTTGCCTTGTGGGCCAGTTTTGGAATGCGGAAACCCCATTTTCTCCCGGTCACCACTGAGATCTTGATGATCAGTGAGGAGGTAATGCCCACAGGACAGGATGAAATCTGCTGAGGACATATAGGGAGGGCCCTAGTACCCTTTGTTCAAAGGACCTTATTAATTTGTTTCTTTTTGATGTTAAACTCGCCCCTTCCACTGCTGCTTCCACCTGTCACAAGAAAAGCCCCGACTGCTTCCTCCTGCACTTTTCAATAGAAAAAATAAAACTGAGTGGCTGGAGTTCTTTGTTTTTGCCCATCCTGAGGCACTGACCTCCCAGCCCCTCTTTGGTGCATTACTAAATTTGTTTCTGTTTTTTCTTCATCCTTTGCCATATCCTTCATACAGGCAGTTGGGGACTTTGACCAGGTCCCCTGCACTAACAGGTGAGCTGAGAGTTGAATGATTGGGAGAATGCAGGGGGAGAAACAAATTCAGCTATGTTTTGCTGTGGTAAGATCTTGGAGAACATTTCAGGCTAGCAAGTGTAAAGTCCATTACATTCATTTAAAAAAAAAAAAAAAAATTCAGGCCCTTGCACTTGCCAGGCAGGTGCTTATGCTACTGAACTGTATCCCTGGCCCCAACATTAAAATTTTTTTAAAAAGCATGGCAGGCATATTAAAAAAGTGTTCATTGAGTGTTTACTATATGCCTGGTGCTGTACTAAATGCATTGGGATTCATCAATTGATACTGCAGACAAAATGAAAAAACAAAACTCCATGGCTGACAGAGGATCCTCTCTAACACCCTGAAAGAGTGCAGAGACAAGGGTTGCTAGCTTACAGGGCAAAGGATATAGTGATAAAAGGCAATGTGGGGACGCAAAGACAAATCACATACCACTTCGAAGGCTATGTGAAAGAGTTTTGCCCTAGTATAAATTACTGTACAGTTATGGTGGTGGTCTAACGTGGCGGGAACGCCTACCACTTCCTGCTTCTTCTTCAGCCCTAATTGCAACTCTCCTTCCTGTTTGCACTCACAGAATTCCAATCAGTTCCTGGCACCTCATCAATATCCGCCCCGGGCACCAAGTCAATCAGAGGTCATATAACCCTGTGTCTCTCTGTATCTGGTCGAAGGAGACAGCCCAGCCGCCATGGGTTGTGTGCTCCTTTCCACGTCCTCAACTCAATGAACCTGTTCATTTTGTGCTTTTGCTCCTCTGTTACTCTAACACTATGGTATTGAAGTTTTAAGTGCAAGCAAAGCAGTGGAATGATGGTGTTGCAGCTGTTTTGAGCAAGACAATGAAACAATTATTTTCTTTTAAGGGACCTGGCTGTTCCAGGTGCTTAGTTTGTTGGGGGAGAAACAAGAGACCAGGAGTCTGTCCTGATATCCACTAAGCATCTCGCCCAAAGCAGGGGTGTAAACTGGGGAACTTGTGGCACTCTGGCTACCTTTGGAAGGTGAAGCCATACAACACTTGCAAATGAGGACTGGGTGGTGGATGCTGGTGATCAGAAGAGAGTAGTCAGGAGGGGGCTGGGGATTTAGCTCAGTGGCATAAGTGCCTGCCTTGTAAGCAGGCAGTCGTGAGTTTAATACCTGGTACTGATAAAAAGGAAAAAGAAAAGAGAGAGAGAGAGTGGTCAGGAGAAACCTACAAAGTTGAGATTCTAGTGACCAGGTAAATGCTGACTCTTTTATAGAGACCTGGAAGTTATCTATCTGTTATAGAGACCTCTGAAGTTATCTCTTAGACACCAAAGAGGTGTTGTGTAAAAGCAGAAGGAATGGGGCTGGGGATTTAGCTCAGAGGCATAAGTGCCTGCCTTGCAAGCAGGCAGTCGTAAATTCAATCCCCGGAACCGGTAAAAACGAAAAAGACAAAAAAAAAAAAAAAAAAAAAAAAAGCAGAAGGAATTCAGGGAAGAGATAGGGGAATAGAAATGCAGTGTTAGGATTCACCAGTTTTTAAATCATATTTAAATCACTGAACGTAGTTCAAGGGTAGAACAAACCTGAATACACAGAACAATGGGATGAAGTCTTAGGAGACACAGCCATCTAATGAGGATGAGAAGAGAACATGTATTTGGGAAGAAAGAAGCATGTCTCAAGCCAGCTCTTGAGAGCTGCTGGATTTAGAGGTGAGCCCCAGGAGGGCCCCTATCAAAAGGAGCTGAGCGGTCCCCAGGCATGATGTTATCACCCCAGGAGTCCCAGCTACTCAGGGGGAGATGGCAGGAGAAGTGCGTGAGCCCAAAGTTCGAGGCTGGCCTGGCAACGTTACAAAACACCATCTCAAAAAAAAAAAAAAAAAAAAAATGCTGTGTGGAATCCCCAGTACTGCCCCAAAAAGCCACTGAAATAAAAGCTACTCAAATTTTTAAAAATTTAAAGAGAGACTAAACAGGCCAAATAAATAGGAGAACTGGGAGAGGAAGGTGCAGAGAAGAGAAAGGACACGGAAGGCCCGGGAAGTGAAGCATCACACAGAAGACACAGCAAAGGCAAAGACAGAGCACAGCTGCGGATCCTGAGGGAGTTGCTCGCTTTGGTACCCAAGACCTCCAGAGAGAGCTGACAAAGGGAGTAGGACCTGCCCTGGAGCCCTCAGGACCTGTTTGTCCTTAGAGAAGAGCAACTTGACAGCAACATAACCACTGATCTTTTCTAAGCAAGTGTGTGTTAATATTCCTGGGGGCAAACTTGATACTTAAGTATTGAGGTAGTTTTGAAATAACTCCATGAAAGA